GTAATAAAGCAGTCAAAATACAGAAGCTTTCAATCTGAGACATTAGGCAACCAGTTTTATCAAGTCTCCGTTTCACAAAGCTCTGGAATTGCAACCGCTCCGAGGAGGTAAGAGAGGAGGACATACCAGCAGTATCAGCACGGCAACAGCACCGGTGCTACTGACCCAGTAAGAAAACGCTCCCCTGGGGAGATTTCTTCCAATCGCTTCACACAGTCCTACTCCATATATCGAACACAAAAAGCAACAAAGCAGCAGCCGATCAGTGCCACCATAGATGCCGAAATCACAGTGACTGCGCTGCCGGCAACACTAACCAAGAGCCCCAGGCCCACACCGAGAATGATCTGGGCCAGCTGGACCATGCAGGTGAGAGCGGCACAGTCAATGCCCTTCCCTCGCCCGCGCTCTCCAGCTTGTTCCCCATCCTGCAGCTTCAGGCTCTGCAAATAAACACAAAACAAAACCCAGTGAGATGAGACAGCACCGATAACTTGCAGCTCTCAGCCAAGGCACTGTCACGACCCCCAGGTGCAGCAAGACAGGCCAATAGCTCTCTGCTTCCTTTCTGTTTTTCTGCTTGTCCCACAGAGGTTGCGGAATCCAGAGATTTTACAAGTGATAATGAGTTTTCCAAGCTTCCCCTAAATTGTCCCGTTTCTCCCATCTGCAATTTTTCCCTCTATCCCTTCTCTCAAGGAAAGAATTGAAACTTGATCAGAAAAATTAGCCGTTTCCTTGAAGTTCAGGTCTACTTGAGCTCTGGCAGACTGACATTCCACAGTACAGGATACCCCATCATGGATAATTTAGCTCCAACTCTCATGGTTGAAGGAGAGCCTCAAAGGGATGTTAAGATGAGTCATACTTTGTCCCACACACGTACAGATCATAATTTGTTATAATGCAGCACCGTGCTCTGAAGTTATGCCTCAAAGCACACAAAGGAGTTCAGCACTGAAATCTAAATGTAATGCTTTTGTTGCTGGGGAAAAAAAAAATATCTGAAAACAAATGTCCAGACTAGGATTCTTCTACATTACGGAAGACCATTATTAACTGATTATCTGTATATCTGCTATGATATACATAGCAGAGCAAAAGGCTTCATTTATTATATACAAGCATCTCGTATATAAGCACTCTGTGAGGGTAGTTGGTCACTGAAACACCTTGACCACAGGGGTTGTGGTGTCTCCACCTTTGGAAATATTCAAACCAGACTGGACATGACCCTGGGCAACCTGCTCCAGGTGGCCCTGCTTGAGCAGGAGGATTGGACTACGTGATCTCTGAAGGTCCCTTCTAACTTCAGCTGTTCTGTGATTCCCTCCAGGAAGGAACTATTCTATTTTGTTGGGAAATTACACGATAGTTTACATATTTATTCTTCTTCTTACATAGGCTGTTGAATGGAGAAGGTTGTATTGTAACAAACAAGAGGTTTCCATGCTGTAGGCTAGCTGTGCTGCTGTCTTCTGGTATCCAAATACTCTCGGCCATTAAGATGCTTTTTGCTTTTTGCAAGACCTATTACATTGCCTTTGAGCTGTTACCACACAAAGCTCAAAAGTACTGGAGACAAATAGTCTTTTCCTAATCCAGTGGACAAAATTGAATTTGGATCCTAGGGAACAGCAGCACAGAACAGGAGTTGAAATGGCAGCATTTTAAAACCCAGCACATGATTTTGGTAGAATGCATAGTGAGGAAAATGTCTGCTCTTTGTTCTGGGATGATACAGTCCTTTCACCTGAAATATTTCCAATTTTAGACACAATTTTTTTCGGAATTATATCTATTTTGCTGGGCTGTGCCCAGTGTTCCTATGCGCTAGTAGATCTGGCCACAATTATATGAATGTGTAAATGAATGTGATCTTGCACTTGATGTTTCCTCTTTATTTTTTCTATCTTGTACATTATAGAAGATGTGAGATAAAGCTAATTCTGTTAACATCAGATCTAACATAGAACTATATATAATTTAACATCTGTCATAGCAAGTACCATACACCAAACAACAAACAATCAGTTGTCTTACAAGTAACATTTGAATATACTAGGCTATTAAATATAAACTCCATGCCCACTTCAGCATATTTTATTTCACTTCTGTGTTGGAACAGCTCTGAATCAGAGCTAGACTACAATTTTGCCTTTAGTCGTCTCTCTGAGTTGTCTGGCCCAAGGTTAGGATTGTGATCTTGCCCTAAACTGGATTCATTCCCTGTCCTTTGTTATATCTTTCTAAAACTTCATCATGATCGTTCTCTGTTGGAAGGAACAGAGAAGTTAACTGAAAAATTGGGAATCAGATCTATGAAATATTTAACCACATTGAGACATCCTCTTAGGATTCAATAGAATAATTAAGAGTTTTCTTGTATTCATTATTCACATGGTGATGCTTAAAAGTTGAACAGAACAGTAGGACGTGTTCTCAAGTGGGACTTGATCTAGCCCTGTGCTGGTATCAACTATGTTTCTATGTTGTTTTTCAACGGTTCAACATTTCCTTTATTAATTTCTTCAAATATCCCCAGATATAATGAGAACTTTTCGGAAGTCCTCCCAACCCTCCTTAATCCTTCTTGTTTCCAGGTCTCTCACTAACTTAAGAGACTTGAGAGAACTTTTCTGTTAAAGAGCTCAACACTTTACAAGACATGAAGATCCTGCTGTGCCCAGTAACACAATACAAGGAATGCAAGCTTTTCAGATTTTCCTTGTAAACAGGATTTCATGCTGTGGAGGACCAAAAACCAACCCCAGACATTTATAGAGGTAATGAGAACATGGTATATAATTTAATACTGAACTATGTAAAACTATATGAATTTCGTATCTTTATTAGCTAACAGTTTTTGCAACACTTTGCAGTCAACTAAGAATTCTTCCAGCCTTTACAGTGTGGTTATTAACCTTAGGAACTCAGAAATTAAGTCCTCAGCTAATACAGCTGGAAGGAAGGATGTAAGGAAGTTAGCACTTGAAGGCAACACGAAGTGGAGTCCTGTTATCTGCTTACTGCCTGAACACAAACTGTAATTGGCTTCGTTTTAGCTGTGATGGTAAATAATTATTTGTCTCACTGCAGGACTGTTTGAAGAGTTTGGAGCTGGGACCTTAACTCTCTCTGTCAGAAACTTTCCATTCATAACATGCGTCATCATAAATAGTTTGAAATTAAAATTAAAAGCTGCTCACCAGTTCTATCCAGTTTTCTCCCAAAATAGACTAAACAGACCCAGACAGACATAAACTTACCCTTCCTTAGACATTGAACTCACCTCTTCTTCCCTGTGATACTCTGCAATGAGGTGGAATGGCACTGTGTACAGCGTGCTGGACATGACACCAAAGAGGGAACAGAGAGCCAGGGTGGAATAGACGTTGGGAAACAAGCCAATTAATCCAGTTCCCAATCCAAAAAGTAGGTATCCAATGAAATAAAGTCCCTTTAATCCTATGTATGGCAGAAGGATTTTCTGCAGGTCTGTGAAAAGAAAGTGAAAATGCTGATAAGAGTAAAACAAAACAGGTCACATTTCATCAGGGAGTTCCTTTAAGGGGTAAAATACAATGAAGGAGATAATCTTACTGATTTTGGAAGTTGCCTCAAATTATTATAGGTATAAACTTGCCAAAGAATACTTGCTCTCTCAGAGAATAGTCTTATTCTGGCATAGCCAACTCCAGAGATGAAGTAGTTAACAACCATTCTGGAAGAACTGCCCTCACAGACAACCCCAGACATTTCCGCTGTTTGATTATAACGCGAACATTTGGCATCAACCTCTGTCTGAGCTGAGAAAGGCTCTACAGAAATGCTCCAAAGGGGAAAAGATTTCCCTCAAGCCTCTTTTAGATGTTCAATTCAGCCCCCAAAATGCTACTCATTTGAGTTTTTGGATCGCAAGTATTTTTTTTAATCCTTGGTAACAGCTATGGTGAAATCTATCTGGGGAACTGTGCTAACGTATTTATACATAATTTTGGAGAGCAAGGTTCATGCTTCTGGCAAGAACTTCTACTGCATTGTGAAAAAGTTATTTTATGAGGAATGCAGATGGGGAGAGGCCATCAGAGGGACCTTTGAGAACCTACAGCTACAGCACTGCTAGGTGAAAGAGCATCCCCGAATGATGCCTGTGGCATCCATTTTAGTCTAACATTTAACTTCAGGATGATTTTCAGTGTTCAGGGTCAGTTCACATGCAGAACAATGCCTTACTCCCAAAGTGACCCCTGCACCATATGGTCAGGAACTGTTCATGTTAAGATTCGAGTTTCTAACAATGCTGAGTATGTAACATTTCTTAAAGTTTTAGTGTGGAAAAAACCCAGTTAATTTGGCATTGCTTTATTTTTTTTAAACAATGGCAAGTAGCAAACAGTTTAAACACTGTTTCAAAACACAGCCTTGGAATACATCCCTGGGTACTTACAAGAATAGACTGATGAAGAAATTGCATTGATGCACAGCCCCCAGCATCCCACCTCTACTCCTGTTTTGTAGGTAAGGTAAAGCGTGGAGTTATGAGGTGCATAAGGACTACCCTGGTATACAACCTGAAAGAGACCACAAAGATCACAGAAGGCAAGGATGGACTACACGTATATAATACCTCCTTCTTAGGGGAACAGGGTACCCAACACAGGGCCTCATCCTTGGTGGGGGAGATAATTAGCACCCAAGAAGTCTGTTAAGCAGTGCCCTAACCATCCCTTCACAGTTCTCCAGGTTTTGCACTTATTTCTCCCAGATTATCACGTCCCAAGCTCCTCCTTATTTACTACCCTCTGCCTTTTCCTGGACTGTCCACTCTACACTGACTCATTTGCTCTTTTACCTTTGGGTGTCTTATTTCCCTCTCTCCTTCTCTCTCCACTTCTGCCTTCTCGCCTTAGGCTTTCACTACAATTAATTTTTTTGTTATCTCTTTCAGACTTACCCCAACACACTTATTTTTCCACCTAGTAATTGTCTTATTCAGTTCCTTATCTAGGCAAGCAAAACTTTTTCTTTCAGTTGTTCATATACACTGCAGGAAAAAAAACCCTCCCTCTCACCTAAACAGACAAAAAAAGGCAAGGAAATGGGAATATGGCATGGAAACCACAGAAGAAAGGAAGTGGTAATGAGGGGATTTGTGCCAGGAGCATACTTGCACCCTGGAAGAAAGGAGGCAGTCAGCATCGTATAGGCAGGAATCACTGGCAGGGACATAGAGTCCTACTGCCTGGGAATGGCACGGAAAAGGGAGCACCGGGTATCACGAAGGCAAATAACGGCTGGCAGAAGGGACTCAGGGAAAGGTTTAAAGAGGTATGGCAGGGACACCCAAATTCAAGGAGATAAGAGCTTTCAGCTCTACCAAGTAGCAGGAGCTGCAGAGCCTGAGGCCAGGGAGGCTGCAGCGCAGGTGGACAGCTTTGTGCCGAGGGTGCCCAGGCACCTGGACAAGGCCAGCTGCATCCCAGAACATCAGCATTGCTTCAGTTAGGAAACCTGCCCTCGGAGCGGCTCCCAAGCCAAAGCGGAGAATGGATGTGTTTGGAACAGCTCTGAGACCTGCGTTTGGAACAGTTAGATAGACAGAAATAGCCTTGCAAATACTAAAAGGTTTTCGCCAAAGATCTAACAGACTGGCTCAGAACGAGGGCCTGAGATCCATTAGCTGTTTTACAAAACTCTTGTTGAGCCATCCAGACACAACTGGCTCTGCCACCACTGTCATTTCTTCGGGATTATGACACTGTCTCATTTTTTTTTGGTGCAGAAGGAGATGCTACAAGGGAAGAGAAGTGAGAGGATTTTACACTTTTACCTGTCCCATGAAATCCGTGAAGAAGAGCATGTTGGACAGGAAAGCCATCCATCCAAAGAGGTGGCTCACACAGAGATAGCGATAGTGGGATGGCATGCTTAAAAGTGTCCTCAAAAGTGATTTAGGAGTCATCCGCCTTTGATCCTAGAAGCAAGTATTTAACAATAATACTGTATTATTGCCCTGAAGGCTAATAAAATAGCTGACAGCAAATGAAAAAGGCCTCAGCATCTTCTAATTATGAAACTTCCAAAGTCTTTTATTTTTTGCTAGGAAGGGCTGCTTGGGTACTGAATGTCCTTCAATGTATATTTGATTTGTAGAGCCATTGCCTAATAAAGTCATCTGAAGGATTCACAGAGACTCTGGGAGAGCTGGGGTATATTAGCAAGGATGTAACATTTCTTGCTGTTATAATCAGTAGGATTATTATTTACTTGCAGAACCAAGTGAAAATTTTCTGCCAAAATGGATTCAGTGGAGTTTCAAAAAAACCAAAAACAGAAACAAAAATCATTTCTTTATGGAGACAAACAGCTTTACATTGAAAATTTAAAGCTGCCATGGAAAAAATGAAACTCAGAATACTTCCTGAGAATTAAAATATATCAGTTGTGGAATACGGGACTTCTAAGAACTTGTTGCCATTCCCTACTGCGTGCTAAATTCCCTAGAAAACTTCACTTCTTCTGGCGTATCATGAGATTTCCACTATGTACTGTCCTCCCCTCCAGGAAGCAGGGAGAGACTGTGGTACATCCCAGGAGATGCAGCACCACTCAAAATCCTGGCACCCAGAGAACGTGAGCTTCAGCACCTACACACCTCATCCCATGGGAGAAATAACTTACTTCAAAATCTGGTGCTGGTTAACAAATCTCACTGATGGGGAAAAACAAAATTTCTCACCACCTTCAATGCCCCACCTTATCTCCTTCCTCCTTGTCTGAGCGCTGTGCCCAAAAACGCTCTCACAGTTTCTTTTCCAGCCACATTCACCAGATCACTTGTATCACTTGAATTTTTTTTAGTACTGTAGGTATGCTTGATGTCAGGCATTTGCGACACACAATTCTTAGTGCTTTAAAGCTCCTGTATCATTCTTTGCTTTTAAAGAAAAAAAGATACTATTTTATCTGTGCATGATGGAACACTTCCAGTTTTCTCTAGAGGCAACAGTGTTGGGAGGGATGGTAAGGGAAGCTGTATGGTCATAAAACGTGGAAGAACTGTAAAAGTTATGTTCATTACTGGAAAGCTGAATTTTGCCTTCAATTTGCTGTAAAATAATGACGTTTTTTCCTTCCTTCTTTCAATGTTCTACTTCTCACAATTCTGCTTTCCTTTGAACTAGGTTATGCTTCAAGCTACTCTATGAATAATCACCGCATACAAAGTTGGAAAATACTTCGCTCCAGTGGGAGGTTTTTAATCCTCACAGGAATGAAAAAAATGCCAAAATTCAAGTTGCTGACTTTCACCTTGAACTGCATATTGTCCAAATCCCTTGGAATTTCTCTTGGCATCACTGTCTCTTTTAAACAGGGTAAACTTTCTATTCTTCTACAGTTATTAAAAACAACGAAAAAAATTCCACATTGACTCATTAGTGTTATTTCAAAGATAATTACTACCGTTTGACTTGGCTTATTTAATTTGTTCAACTCTTCCACACAGTTCTTTAAAACCTTTCCAATTAAAGTGTTAACATAAAGTCAGGGAACTACTAAGGACACTGCTGTAGTTACAAACAGTAATTTGACAGCTAGATATGCTTGCTTTCTATTTAGATATTTTAGAGAGTGGAAATGGAAACTGAAATGCTTAATGCACGCATCAATACACACCAACACACAAATCCCACACTAGTTTAAACGATGTGCTGAAGTTTGGCTCCGTTTAACTGCCCTATCCTTCAAAAGCTCACAATAGCCAATCACTTTCTATATAAAATCACTACAACTCAAGGCCTGGGATGATTCATAAGGATACAGAGGAATCAATAAGACTTGGGTTTTATGGCAGTAGGTCCTGAGTAATTTGGCACCAAACTAAAGAACAAAAGACGAATCATTTTGAATGTCTGTTCATACTGTAACAGGTCAAATCTCATTAGTAATCATGGTAGCTATTAGTATGTAAGAGCACAGTCCTTAATTAAAAGATATAGGGCCATGATGCCTGCAGCAAAAAAAGAGACACAGAAAAACAGGAAGCCAAACCATTTCTTCAAGGAAGCAATTACAGTAATGAATGAACTCAGAAAACATGTGTCACAAGAAAGAGACAGTTAAGGCAGTGAGTGTCTAGAATTTACACATGCCCAGGCACATCAAAGAAACATGAGACAGATCAAATCCCTGTGAGCCTCTGTCAGGCTGTCCGCCTAAAAATATAGAGAGGAGGGCAATGGCACAAGCTTGGCCACAGTGGACGCCAGAGCTTCACCTTGGGTCTCAGACGTTACTGATTCAGTGGAATTAGTTCTTGCCAAGGTAGAGCTACCCCAACCCATAGTCTGCTCCCCTTGCTTTCACTGCATCTGCTCTCTCTTCTTCATTTACCTTCCTTTCTTTAGAGCCCACATGGGCCAAGCAGTCAATGACACTCGGCACCTCTGACAGCTTGGAGGATGCTCAGAGTGAGCAGTGCTGGTGAAGAAGGCTGGCTGCTCAAGTTGGCCTGCGGTGGGGAAACAGGGATGGCATTGCAGTGTCTTAGCCATATTCTCCCAAAAAACTGTTGCTTTGCTGTCTGCCCCTCTCTGTGTTTGTCTGGCATTCTCATCAGGCAGTGTTCATCTTTTATTCTACCTTTGTGTTGTGTCTGGTGTAATAATATTTTTCTTCAGGTTAGGAATACCAAGTGCTGTTATAATACACATGATAAAGAGTAAAAGATAATAAATCCCTTTTATTTGTAGCTTAAACGTGAGTTTAGGTTTCTAACTTATAACCATCTGCACATTGTCAGTATTTTTTGCCTGATTTATCAAGACCGGTATCAGGGATAAATATACATAACACCAAGAGATCAGAAGTGAAATTAAAACAACAAGCAACTGTTTCGTCACTTATTATTGTACTAGGAGCCAAACATATACATTAGCCTTTGCTTACCTAGAGTACCATGAGAGTGCAGTGAGGATTCCTAGCACTAAAAGTCATCAACAACACAGTATAAACTATTATCTGTTCCCAAAACCATTCTAAAAATGTGCTCTTCACATATTTTTCAAGCAGATTCACCTTTTCCTAGTTGCCTTAGACTGAAGCGCTCTCTCATAAAAATGCAGCAGAAACAAAAGAACAGTGATGATTTAAAAGTACTCGCTGTTCTCTCCCACCTGAAAGTTCTGCCAAAGGCACAGCTACAACATCACTGCAAAATAAAACTAAAACTCCAGAAGCGAGGTAGCGTTGTTGTAGAAGTAGCAATTTTAAACACATCAGTACTGTCAATAAATCCTCAATGAAATGTTGAGCAGCAGCATCACTGGAACGTGTACCAGACCGGGGAAGAAACGCTTCGTATGTATTATGTATGTAAGTGTGTGGACTTCAATGGGAGTTAGAGATTTATATCAAAGATTAATGGTCTGTAGTCCTTGTCCGCAATGTGATGTTAATTCTGTCAGGACTAAAGGACAAAGTATATCCTCTTGCCAAAATTCGCATGAGGATGATACCAGGAGACTGACACAGAGCAGAAACCTGAACCTGGTTCTCCCTCAACCCTGCCAATTGTTCAAAGCATCAGGACTAGTCCGTCTCGTCCCTCTTGCTGGAAATACTTTGTAAATAACAAAAGAGAAAAACAAGCAGGCTTTCTACGGACCCCGTATCCTAGTGGAGGATTCTTTTCCTGTGTGTGTGAAAGGACTCCATTCCAAATAGTCAGCGTTAGCTAATTAAAGGGTCTCCAAGGATGGAATGATATGGGTTACGAAATGATCTCTGCACTTACCTCTGCACGTGACGTAACAGCGGGTTTCCCTTGTTTAGCTGCAGCCTTTATTTCAGTATGTGTTGATTTTAAGTAACTGTTCTTGATATCCTCCTCTACGGAGCTATATTTATAGGATTCCAACAAGAACGTTGTCTCTTCATTTTCGAATCTGAGTGGGACCTCAGGAATACTGCGCAGATGTACAGTAAGGCAGATTAGGAAAACCAAGGCTGCGAATAAGAAAATCACCTGGAATTCCGATGCCAAGGAATATCCTAGTACAGTTTGACCCCAATCCATAGCACCTGTCAGGTAACCCAGGGCTCCTCCCAAACCTATGGGCGTGGGAAAAAGGAGAAAAAAGATCTACTGGCATTGATAAAATAAACAAACAGTACACAGTACCCTCAAGATGTGATCCCCTCTAGAAATGACTGAATAATCACCCTCCGGATATTAATCACAAGAAATAGGAATACTGAGCTAATCACATACGTGAGCAGTTACCAAAACATCTCTTGAAAAATCTCCTCGGCTCTGGTGGACAGAGGTCTCAAAAAATGCCTGAACATATAGTAACATGGGCCTCCATCTCTCTTCTTGACTCTTTGAGGCTTTATTTTCTTTGAAACAGTGAGTAATACAAAATAAAATTCTACTGAAATTTATGGGTTTTTTAAAACTTCACAGAACAAACTTTTTTTTAATTATATTGAGACTATCTACAGTTTTGACTTTGTAAAATGTATTTAATGCAGCTGAATCTAAACAGAAATACTGTCTTCATGTGCAATTTAAAAAAAAGGAAATAAAACCAAAAGCATTGCTTTGTAGTTATCAAAATCTAAGTACCTCACCACTTGGAAAAGAAAACAAAAAGGATCAAAACCAAATGTGTAATTCCATTTACTGATTTTCTCAGAACAGTTAGAATACAAGGTAAAATGAGAATGCTACCTTGTGTCTTGAAGTTAATAAAACCAGCGTTCAGTTCGATTTTTTCAAAATTTCTTCTTTTTGTTACTAGTGCACACAGTTTCAGAAGCACAAGAAAGCGCACACTGCTACATACAGTACAGAGCTCTGGTAGGGGAAGCACCTTTGCAGAGTCCTGACACCCTGTTAACCAGGGGGCTTTGCAGGGCCTGGGAGTTAAGCAGGATGGACGCGTTGCAGGGCTTTGAAGTACTTCTACTCTTCTGCTTAGGAGAACTGAAGACAATGTGTGGTAGAATCATTCTGTCCAACAAACATTTACAGAGGTAACAGGACCTACATTTGCTTCACCTACAAAACATGGGATTTTTATTTCATTCTGGGCTTTCTGTACTTTTTTCCTTCTTGGGTCTGATTATGGCCCTCCTTCATTGTGTTCTACTGCATTTTACAGGGGACGGTATCCTTGCTTGTTCTCACGAAAAACAATTAAGCTGTTAACAACTTTCTGAAGAAAACCTACACTAAATGTTTGCGCAGAGTGAATGTTTGATGTTTGAGGCCATCTTTGCATACTGTTTTGACAAAAAGCAATCATGATATTGGAATGCAGACTGAGTGTTGCATGTTGGGTATATACACTCTTCCTTCCACTTGTCTCAGTGGTCGTAAGTTTCATAACTGCAATGCTATCGAGTTTCATGTTCAAACCTTACACTGAAGATAAACTGGAGAGCAAAATCTTGGAGATATTTAGTGTAACAAGAAGGAACTAAATAGGGGAAACAAAATAATATCTAAAACAGAAGCTAGAAAAGAAATGGGAAGATTACTGTCTCTGTCTAATAAGGATTGAACAAGGCATGATAAATGTAAATTGTAGGGAATGGATATTAAGGTTAGATTTTAGGGAAAACTGTCTAACAACAAGGCCAGTGAAGTGCTGGAACAGACTGCTTGGGAGGGCTGCAGAACCCCTATCACGGGAGGATTTCAAGAACAGGCTAGGTAATTACCGATCAGGAAGGGTTAAGGTACTGATGATCTTGTTAGAGAGGGCACAGGTGCTGGACCAAATAATGCAATCTCCTCCAGTCTTATTTGATGTGATTTGTCCCACATACCTTTTCACAGCTCAGTACACAAATGAATCAGCTGTAGCTCCAAATTGGGAAATCAAGCCTTTTTATTATCATCCAAGGAAAAATTGCAACCAGAGTTCTGCTGAAGGCAAGAATATGCATAGAGACTCACTCCCCTCTCTGTCCAAACAAGTAATTGTTAAAAATTTTATCTGTCAGTTTCTAACGGATAATACTGATTTCATTCCCATGTGGCTTTAAGGTTCCCTTATAATCTGTGTTTCTGGACACAGCTATTTCGTATGTCCAAAATCGGCCTGTTGTCAATAGCTACTACACCTCCCTCCTCCACTAGAGTAACTGCCACTGAATCTACGTGTCTCTGCTCTTGGTACAGCTCAATAGCCACAAAAATCTGCATCCACACAGATTGCATGATTTCTCATCTAGTCTGCTTTTCGTCTAGTCCTTTTACAGTGACTGCTCCCAGACATGGCTGGAAGCTCCTCCCGATTCACATTACAGGTACACAGCCTTATCTGTCTTCCCTGTGCATTTTCTCAACACAGTGCTCAGGCAGTATGGGTTTCCTTCTGTACGGAAGGTTTCTTTCTGTAACTCAGCAACATTTCAAACATGTGTAAAGGCAAATGAAGCTCTTACTTCATTTGCAAGAGCCTGGATTTCATGGAAGTTGTGAAGCTCTGAATTTTACACAGAACTCCTATTTCTTCTATACAGGAAGGCAGCACATATTGGAGCACTGTCGAAGAACAGAAATCAACTGTACTGGTTTGTGATCTTTCTCTGTGTCACATGCTGAGTCAATAATGTTATTCTTATGTGCTATGGCAAGGAAACAAGTTACATCCCTTAATTTTTGCTTCACCAGAAACTTGAAAAAAATCAGAACAAGATGAATAAACACTACTTCACTTTTTTAAATAATTAATTGCTCTTACTTAAATCATGGCTATGTTACTGTAAATATTTATGCCTGCAGCCTTCTGCAGCAGAATTCCTGTAGCAGCAATCACAAGTTGCTGTCCTCTGGAGTAGTGAAAACCCAGCAACAAAAGACTCGTGACTGAAGCACAGGATCAGATGATCAGTTCATTCAAGATTAGAAACACAGTAAGAATAAAATCCATGCAATTACCTTCCCCTCCTTTGAGAGGTAGGGAGGAAAGGAAGGGATCTGAGTACCTGTAAAGAGGGCGTGGTAATGCAGACCCTTCTCTTTATCCTGATGAGAGCAGACATCAAATAAATATGCTTTGATGGGGCCATCAATAAAATCAGCTGCAAAATCAAAAAGCACTACTCCCAGCATGGTAATGACTATTGCCCACGTCCGCTGATTGTCTCTCTCACCGATGAAAGCTACAAAAAGAAAAACACCCTCATTCTGACAGCAACAGTGCCATGTTCTGCAAAACTACATTTTATCTTCCCTGATACCTCCAAATCTATCCAATGCTTAATTATGCAAGAGAGAGCAGCGATACCAGAACCACATCAGAGAAGCAGGGTGAATGAGTCTGTGTAGCGCTGAGCTGTGCTAGGTTGACTTACTGCCTTGAGTTGGCACGAGCTCAGGGTACGCCAAGCTCCACAATCAAGAGCATCACTAGCCTTAATCTACTCCTCCGCACCTCCATGGCATGCTCTGGTAGCCTAACACACATGCATTTTGTAGTACACTTTTTTGTTTTATTCTATTTGTCCCACCCTTTCATTGTTTTAGATAATCAAGGGTTGACTGTAACGTCTCCTTTTGGGCAAATATACAAGTATATTCAACACCAATGATATCCAGGAAGGGAGAAAAAAATCAATCCATAAAAACACACACCTCCCCCCTCTGCCAAGTCATAAGGACAGCAACAACTTTCCATCAAGTCTTTGAGAAGTTACATCTCATAACAGTATCTAGGGACATCACTCCTATTTGATTTTGCATATTCCGGGCGCAACACGGTTTCCAAGGAGTTACAGATTTCTATTATTCAGCAGCATAACACAGTCCCGAGTCAAGCCAGTGCTGCAATAATTAAAGATACATATTTTGAATGCTAATCCATCTAAAATAGGGATTAATAGATACTCAGTTTGGATGTCTATTACATCACACAAACAACATTGATCATTTAACTTAACAAGCTAGATTTTAGTTTGTAAAAACTTCTCTGGGCCTAAGCAGTGCTTTACTTGTATTAACTGATCAGGCAACCACACCAACATACAACATGCTGTAATCACATGCAGAAACTACAGAACACTATGTACAGGGTACATAACATGCAGCGTTAGGACTGAACGTATATGAAGATTTCGGTGTTCCCCAGCTCCTTCAATGCAGCTGAGTAACATGATACCCAATTTCAACAGTCCATTTTAGCAGGGAAAAAAGGAACCAAAAATAGGATGCGTTTTGTCTGTCAGCACAGCGTGTGCCCCTCACTCACCTGAGATCATCACGTCCCCATTGAGGTACAAAGCCATGCCTAACAGCATTATGATGCCCAGACCCAGAATGTAAGGTCGCCTCCTGCCCCAGCTACAGGTGCAGTGATCACTGGCTGAACCTACCACGGGCTGCAGCACGAAGCCCAGGATAGGGCTGATGAGCCACACCAGGCTGTAGAGGTTCTTGGGCAGCCCTACACTGAGCAGTACCGGCGTGACAAAGGCGGCCTCCACGGCATAGCAGAACTCCCGGCCGAACATCGCCATGCTGTGCATGACCAGCCTTCCCTCCGCTCGCTTCCTTGGCACCACTGCTCCAGTTCTCGTCACAGATTGCAGCAGAGCCTCCTTCTCTCTGGTGCTGTCCATGTCGGCCTTGGCCACCACAGAAGGGGGTGGAAGAGCCCTGTGGGAACTCTCTTTCGTTAAGGTCATGGCTCTGGCTACGCGCGGCGCTCCGGCAAGTCGGTGCTGCCCGCCCTGGCTGACATGGAGCCCAGATCATATGCCGAGTGGGATCGGTCTGTGCTGGGGGAGGGACTCACATACTTTCATGGCTCTGCGATCACAAGTTATGAAAGGAAGGGGGCGGGGAAGCGTGTGTTAACATTAGCAGATCTGAGTTCTTGGCGTCTGCAAAGCTCCCAACTATCCACAACTAAAGGACTACTGTTTAAGCACAAAACACACATACAATGGGAACATACATCACATGGGCGAGGTGCAGGCTTAGCGTGACACAAAGCTATTCCTCTTGTTGCTGTAAGAGAGCGGTGATACCAAGAAAGTAGAGCCCTCATCTTTCTGTTCAGCAAACAACATTGAGCACCAGACAGAGTGCTGATTTCCTCTTGATCGAACGGGGGGAAAAGAATCTATAATATATATCCAGAAAAGGGTTTCAGTGCACTTCGTGAAGATAAGTGAACCTACCTATTGCCCTAGAGGGTCAGTGGCAGAAAAAAGGTTGACAGAGGTCTGCCAAAGAGCAACTGGTGAATTTTTTCTTGTATCTGCTGTGTGCCAACCTCAACACAACTGATCATGTTTCTGAAAAACAAAGGGTATCACAATCACTTAGGTGTTTTTTTAAACAGCCTTACCTGCCCAGAGAAGGCCATAAAAGAAATCTATAGTGACATACCAAAACTGTACCTTTCAGGTTAGCCACCTGAGTGAGGCAGCTGATCCAACCTATGCTGAATCATAGAATGGTTTGGGTTGGAAGGGACCTTTAAAGGTCATCTAGACCAAGCCCCCTGCTGTGGGTAGGGACATCTTCAACTAGATCAGGTTGCTCAGAGCCCCGTCCAACCTGACCTTGAATGTTTCCAGGAATGGGGCATCGACCACCTCTCCGGGCAACGTGTGCCAGTGTTTCACCACTCTCATTGTAAAAAATTTCTTCATTTCTAGTCTGAACCTACCCTCTCCTAGTTAAAACCGTTACCCCTTGTCCTATTGCAACAGGCCCTGCTAAAAAGTCTGTCCCCATCTTTCTTATAGGCCCCCTTTAAGAAAGGCCACAGAAAGGTTCCCCCAGAGCCTTCTCTTCTCCAGACTAAACAACCCCAACTCCCTCAGCCTGTCCTCACAGGAGAGGTGTTCCATCCCCCTGATCATTTTTGTGGCCCTCCTCTGGACCTGCTCCAACAGGTCCATGTCTTTCTTGTGCTGAGGGCTCCAGAGCTGGACGCAGTACTGCAGGTGGGGTCTCACCAAAGCAGAAGAGAGGGGCAGAATCACCTCCCTTGACCTGCTGGCCATGCTTCTTTTCATGCAGCCCAGGATACGGTTGGCCTTCTGGGCTGCGAGCGCACATTGTTGTCTCATGTCCAGCTTTTCATCCACCAGTACCCCCAAGTCCTTCTCAGCAGGGCTGCTCTCAATCCCTTCCTCCCCCAGCGCCCCAACTCAGGCGCATGACCTTGCACTTGGCCTTGCTGAACTTCGTGAGGTTCTCATGGGCCCAATCCTTGAGCCTGTCCAGGTCCCTCTGGATGGCTTCCCTCCCCTCAAGTGTATCAACTGCACTACTGAGCTTGGTGTCATCTGCAAACTTGCTGAGGGTGCACTCGATCCTACTGTCTATGTCATTGATGAAGATATTAAACAGTACTGGTCCCAGGACGGACCCCTGAGATTAACCCCTGAAGTTAACATGAGTTTTTAAATTGACTTAGCGATTTTGGGGTCAAAACTTAGGTGCACTGGGGATTACAATTGGCAACATTTATTGTTCTCCAACACGATATCGGATGCACCCAGGACTAAACAAATTGTCAGATCTTACTGTAAAGGTGTATAATAATCAGTAATTTACATTACAGTGATTATCAGCTGGAAACTTAAGACGCTTTTGCTGACTATTTATCTAATTTGTCAGGACTTACTAGATAGTTCTTGCTTCCAGGCAGGTGTTTATGTAGTAGAATGTAAAAAAATTTTTTATAGTAATAATGCTGACACATGTAAAATGAGCTAAAGTATTTTTCAGCTGTGGAAGTCTTTGTAAGCAACAAACTAATCTTTAGCAAGGTAAACACTCTGACAAAATTATAAAAAAATCCAACCCCTCATATCATAATTCCTGACATGTCAGACTAAAGAAAACTGTATTAAGGCCATAAAATATAATTATTATTTTTAAAAGCTTTTTTTTTTGGCCTTGAAGGAGACTGTTTCAAACGATGGTTTAATTTTGAAGGAAATGAAAACCACCATGGAATAACCATTGTTTAAAACCCGTGCAGCTAAGTTGCCTACCATTTTTCCAAAAAGAGAGGACAGCATTAATACTTGGCAGCTATTTTAAAATAACAAATTTCATTCTGAAGTGATTTTCTAGGCAAACTGAAATTCCAAATGTAATATAATCAGGAGACTGCATTAGGAAAATGTAGTCAGGTTATTAAATAGAATTACTTTATGATAATAACTCTACAGCAGCACATAAGAAAACAACATTATTTCGATCACTGCTTTGGCATGATAAGGCAAATGAATTATTATGATTAGAGGAAAAAAAATCCCATCTAATCTATGAGTAAACAACACAATCACTTGTTCAGAAAGAATATAACTGTATTTTATGAAAAGTATTCCTTCATGTAATTACAACACATATTTCAAAGCAACGGTGTAACTAAGAATTAAAAGAAACAAACATTTCACAGGATATGATATTTAAAGGAACATTTTGAGGATTTACAGCTGCTTAGTAAGCAAACTGTGTAGATCTTCAACACAATTTTGGTATCATTCTAGACTGCAGACCATCCAGGTACACAAATACATAACTCCCATTGTTTTCAATTACATTTAAAACGTCAATAATTAAAAAAAAATTATTTAAAAGCTGCATATGCAAACATTTATTTGTCATGTAATTCTATTTTAATGCATAAAAACGTACTGTATCAGCCTGAAATTTGTCTGATCTGAATAGTTAGAGATTATAAATTAGCTTTTGGTTTACTGAATTCTATTACTTTATCAGAATAAAGATTAGTAATCTCTTCCTTAGTAAATCCATATTCCAGAAGTATCTCTTCTGTGTGTTCTCCTATAAAAGGATCTCTTTTATACGATGGAACAGCAGGGGTCCTTGATAGAAGAGGAGCAGGTCTGGGACTTATCTCTTCCTGATCATTTTTGATAAAAGAACTTCTTTGTTTGTTATGCTGATGTGAGGCAACATCATCAAAGGATAAAACAGGGGTCACACAGGCATCAGTACCATCAAATATGCTGCACCACTCAGCTTGTGTCTTCTGTGCAAATATGGATGCAAATTTTTTCTTCATTTCGGGCCAGTCGGAGAAACTCAACTGACTGGGAAGTTCATTTGAATCTAGCCCAAGACCTGAAAAGAGAAAAGCAAAGTTTAACTGTAGTATTAGCTTATTAGCTTAGATAAATTGAAGTGCTGCCCACAACTAAGTATGTTCGTCAAGAAGCTAATATTTTGCAGGCAGTCCAACACAGCAGAACATACTAACTAAAAGTCGCTTTGAACTTTATTATGATATCTATGATTGAGGGGGAGGGAGCAGAAGAATAGAATGTTCTACTACTTGACTAAACCGCATCAACTACAGCCTTTTAACTAAGTACATATAATAAACACTCATTTGTATAAACACTTCATAAGAGCAGCAGCTGCCTACAGATAACATTTTGCCCTGAGAACATTTTCTATATTAGGCGTTGTATTTTCCACCTGGCAGTAGCAGCACAAGTCTGCTGGGTCTTGGACTACAGCAATATACTTACCTCATAGAAGCCGGTACATCTGCCAGAGCTGGACATTCAGCAGGCTACAGCATGTCCAACACAATCGGGTTATTTCTATGCCCAGACAAGAAGGTGGTGTGGGTGAATATACCCAGGCTTGATGTGCATGAGGTAGCTCAGCTGCAGGTGCCTGCAGGCTAAGTGACCTCCTTCTCAACTCCCTCAGTCCAAATGGACTCCAGCAGTGTTTGCTGCTCTCCCCTCTTCAGCACACTTCCCAGGCTCCAACTCTCCACTGCTGCTCTTTTGGAAAAGTGAAACCCATAGCCCTTACACTCGCTAACTGCTTAAGAACTCGGCTTCCCAGAAGATCAGTCGCATGGACCGCCTAGGTATGCAATACGCACATCCCTTCTGAGACACAAGAGCAGAAGATGGACACACAGGCATTGTACTGAAAATCTCCTGACCAGGCAAGCCCTAGGTTCTACCCTTAACTAAGGACCATCTTCCCTCTCACTGGGGAGTTTACACCTCTCCTGTGCAGCCAGTTTCCCATCTCTGTTTCTGTTCTCATCGATTCCGCTCTCTGTACTCCCTACCCTTCCATTCTCCTACTTTAAGGAGATCCAAGAATTGTTATCACTTCTTGCAGGGTTTATCTCAAAAAGGAGGTAAGAAACAAGAATGAGAAAAGGCAATCAAACCACACTTTCAAAATGGAGATAGTACAAACAGAGGTACAAACAGAGTCTACGATATCAAATAGAAATCAGAAGTGGCATATTGAAGGCTATCCAAACAGTCACATCTTGAAATTCAGGAGCATGAACATAGCAGGAAAATTTCAGAAAAAAGCAGGGATAATAAAGAAGTTAATTTGAGAAATTAGAAAGGCTAGAGAACAACTATCATCATAATGCTGCACAAACAACAAAAAAGGGAGCTGCTTAGAAAACAACAGGTCTGTGTAAAAGGCAGAGAAAATGTGGAATTCTGCAAACACTTAATTTTGAGCATTCATTCTTGTATCTTTGGATATCTGGTATGAGATTGATGATTTGACTTGCAACTGTTAACAGGCTTGGTTACTAGATGCCTGTTTGCAGGTAGAATTTACACAGAACCCTAATTTTTAGCTGTACATAGGCAGAAAAAACTTTCTGTATCTTCTATTTCTACAGCTTCCTTATCACTGAGAGGGATAGACAGTGTCCATTCTTCTGCTCTTTAAGTTCTTTCTTTCTGCTCATAATCTCTACTACATATACTTCTTGGGGCTCATAGGCTCCCCCAAGTTATCATAATATTTAAAAATTTCACTGTTGATCACAAGATTCTTAAATAGTAGCTTTGAAAATGAATACATGTTTTGAAGTCTTACTTTGGTACTGCAAAGGAAAACACAAAGAAATTGCCAATCTCCAGACTCAGAAATAGAGCCTTGCACTTGTTTGTGTTTAGAAGAAAATCAACACAGTCAAAGACAGAATAAGCATTTTCACATCTTATTAGAGACTTCTACAGATATCAGGATAAGTATTATACAAAGTAAACATTAGTCCTTATCGAGTTACCAAGTCATGTGCACCTTAAATCACTAAACTTACAATCTAGTCTTCATAACCGTTCATATCATCCTAAAAAAAGATCAGCTGAAGATTACTCATACTAGTTGAGCATCCATAATTAAATAAAAGCTAACAAAGCATTCAAAATTAATTTGATTATTAATCTTCAAAGAATAATACTAAAGGTGAACAGTGCTATACAGTTTACTCAAGAACTAGGAGGCGAGGCAAATTTACCTTCCACAATAGTTAAAGCTAAGTAACACCACACTATCCGAGATTCTGTCTCAATGCATGACATCTTGTCAATTGGAAACATTGTTTCGTAAGTATTTATTTGCTTATTAATTGTGGTTTGGGTTCTAGTAGCCAGTCCAACATGAACAGAGCTCTACCATTATCCTATTACACAATTATATTTGAAGATCGTTCCAGATGGAAAGTTGGCTGAACCTAACCGTACATGCTCTAGTAAAATAGAACAATATGCAGAACCTGGAATTTAATATTACATGCTCATTTTCCATTGACCACTGAAGACTTCAACTTCAAACAGCATGAACTGACAGCATTTAAGCACTATAGCTTCTCATTTTCCAGCTTGTGCTAAACATTTGTGGTGCAGACGAACAGAATCATGGCAGGAGTGACTCAGTCAACAAGGAAACAATTACACAGCACAGAATTGTTTGGGATACCACAGGATGACAGATTTCACCCAACATAATCAAAAGCAAAGTATCTTTTACACAGAATATCTGGTAAAGCAATAACAAATTGTTTCCAAGTTTTTTTGTTCAAATTTTCACCCAGGGATTTTTGTTTAGAAAAGCCCAGTAACCTACCCTAGCACAGCTTTGAAATAACCATTTTTGAAAATGAAACATTAAGTCTCCTTATAATGATATAGCTTTAAGTCTCCTTTAAATGCTATAGCTTTATTGACATATATCTGCACATCATTTATTAATGCAACAGATTGAAATCTCTATTTCTACAGAACTTCTTAGACAAACTGCAGTAAAATTAGGCACCCATTTCAAGAGAGAGAAAACAGTGAAATTCATTAGATAAGCCAGCAAAGTTGCTTTGGTATGTTGGAAATAAACTGTTTCTTACAGTATTTTAAAAGATTATTTAGGATCCCTAGCAGAGCTTTGTTCAGGATTTTCTTGGTTTAACTTGCTGATTTTCTTTTCCAAATTGCATGCTCGTAGCACAGTGATTTTGAAATTATGTTGCCACGATATGATTCAATAGAATCATCTAGTATGGGAATCCTTAGTTTTGGCCCAAACCACAGCCATAAGGTATATGCCATTGCTCTCTCTCTCAATATAATTCATTCTCACTCCGAGAGAGAATTGAACTTTAGAATATTCCAAGGGAGTAGTGAATTTTCATTAAAGTATCTATGTAAAGTTTTTTCTCTGCTCAAAGTTTCTGAAACTAAATAATTTTTTAGAAAGTGACAGTTCAACAAAAGGTTGATCAGGCCCAGAGCATCGCTGCAAATGCATCCATAGCTGTACTCCAAATTTACATATTTAATTACCACAATTGCAAATGTTTTGGTGCAGCAAGAACCTGGCCCTCTACAGTATTTGTATAATGTTTAAGGCTCATCACGATAAGTAAACTCAAATAAAACTTAACATTATGTGTAACTGAGGGTGTCTAAAATGTAATGAGGAAACTGTTCGTCCACTTCGCATGTCTTAATAACAACGTTGTATTGAATTCAGTACATTAGCAGATTTTTAATACAGTACACAACACTTTATAATCACAAAATGGAGAGCCCCGTGGAAATCCTTCATAATCATGTAAACTATGTTTTTCAAGTGCTTCCTAATTTTTTTCCCCTCTTTTTAAATAGAAGTCACACAATGTAGGAGTATTGAAGTAGTATGAAAGGAGTAAAACTTTAGTGACTGTTAGTGCCTTTCGTATCAACGTAAGCTGATACTAAGTTCACCTTATATAACCGAGTTTACACCAAATGATAACACAGAATCAAACCTTTACTCTCACCTGATACAAAAAATTTACTGTGTTCTGCATGCTTTGCGTAGCCTGGCTACAGCAATACTAAGCACGTATTGCTAAAAATCAAGAGAAACCTGCAGAAGCAATTTACAGGTCAGTTGGAAGACATTGTGTCTCCTTCTGTCAAAACATTGAGACTTAACATTAGTAGCACATGTTTCTTACATCATATTTTTCATAAGATGCAAAGGCATTTTAGTTATTTATTGGCTGACTTTTATAGTAATAAACTTAATATAAACAAAGGGATTACAGCATGTTTGTTAACAGCAAATAGTCTATAGTGAGCCCAGAATACAACTCCTAATACTACAGCTACTATAGCAATTATTTACCGTATCTTTTTTATATAGCTTCAGTTTCTCATAAAACCTTTTCTTTTTTTAAATCCATAAATTTGTGGTAAGCAGAAATTTAAGTTTCCCTGCCAAGCACGATCTACAAAGCCAACAATCTCCTCAAACTAAGATGCTGTATTTTCTTAAACTTAGTTAGTTTCTGTCTGCAGACCCCTTAAAAACTTTCCTCGCCATGTCATTAACTGCACTCTGGTCCAGCAGTGGGTTCCTAATTCTGCAGGGAAACACTGAAATGAACCAAAACCAAAAGGAAATTCGTTTCACTTTGGCTAACCAGAATTCTGTCAGCAATGATGGATGGTTTAGAAATCATGTTCCTTTCTCAATTCTGCAATCTTTAAATCTCCAACTCTTACATCTGCAACACCCATATCCTTGTGTTCTCATTATATAGGAGTGATGAAAGTAACCCACTCCCTGAATATGGACAGAGACACAGAATGGCTTTTGAAAATATTTTATCTGGAACAACTTCAAATTGTTCACTAGCAGAACTGACCAGAATTACGGGAAAAAAGTATGAAATAAAATCATGGAAATTGTAACTGGAACATACCATTTTAAAACTACTTCAAAGCAGAGAATTAATGCCTGGAACAGACGACTCAGCCTAAGTCAAAGCTCCTCGGGTTTGTGAAAGAACAATACAATTCTCACAAGCAGCTTTTTCTTTCCTATAACATTCAAAAGCTTAAATTCTGAATTTAATTTCTGCAATAGATATCCCAGAAAGGAAAAAATCCCTAAGCCACAAGAAGGATCTGGTGTTCTAATTTGTACACTATTGCTTCAGAAAGCTTGCAACCATAACTCCTGAAGGGGATAAATATTTCCTATGTGCAAATCTGAACAATTCATAATATGCACCTAAAATACAATGAAGAAAGACACTTATTTTAAATGCAATGTTGTGAAAAAATCTTGAGCTCGGTCTGATACTTTAAACAACACACTTCTACAAAATAAACAAAGAAAAATTGACTGTAAACAAGCAAAGACTGTGATACAATTAAAGGCAAAAAGCAAAATTTCCTTAGAAGGCTGTACTCTGTATGTTGTATTTTTAAAATATGACAGAAACAGACTGAAACACAGGCGGTGATTTCAGTTGTTGTCTACTTACAAACGGATACACCAATTCTTTATTGCTGGAATAACTATTTTTGAAACGTCAGCTGTTAAAATCAAGCCATTTCTGTGCATTGTAAGCATAAGGAATACTTTCAAACATGAAAATAAAGTTGTCCAATGTGGGTGCCTCAATATAGGCAGATGAATTCATAATTGCTGCTCCAACTTTATGCTCTAAATTTCTGAGAAACAATTAAGAGGAAACCACTGAATTTTAGCATGTTCCTCAGTAAGGAGTTATCCAAATGAGACCCATCAATGATCATGTTATATTGCCTGACCACTGGATTCATCCATCAGAGGCTTCTTTCTAGATAAGCTGGCTGGCTGGTTGAGAGAAAAGCCTGAGTCTTGCCCTGTAGCAATGATCAATACAAGAAGGCTGGAGTGTCCAGCAAAGAAGAGTGACAAACAAGACCAGACTCCATTACAGAATTTGTTTTCGTTTTGAACAAATATAGATTCCATGCCACTTCGGTAGCTTAAAAGTAAGCGCTATTCAACTTAATCTCTAGAGAAAAATAAAATACTGCAGCCATGAATACTGCAGGCCAGTGTTTGATCACTTTAAGCCAAACATATGGGTATTCGAGTCAGCAGCTTTGTTCTTTTTTCCTTTGTATTTAATACAAGCATTCTCCCTGAAGACGTGTATTGGAATTCCAAATTCTCTAAGTTCCAGAGCAAGGGCTTATATTTTACTTTGATACAGTTTTATATTTATTTTTGTTCTCCAACTCCATTTCTTGCACACAAAAAAATCTCAAGGGATTGGATAAGAATAACATTTCAAAGAACTGCAAAGTGTAGAATAGTCAACTATACTGTCTTTTTCAAGATCGAGTAGCTTAGAACAGGAGTTCACAAACAAGTTATGCTCAGGACAATAAGGGACAAAGTACCAGTTTCTTCAGCCAAGAACATGGCTCTTCCAAACTTGACATCTGATCTGGGGGCAGCACATAATGCTGGACATGTCCCTGCGTCACTCCAGGAGCCTGCCTTATGTGTTTCATGTATCAGCATGTACCAATTTGGATATTCTATGTTTCATGTATCAGCATGTACCAATTTGGATATTCTATGCAACTGCACAGCCCTTTTTAAGCTAGACAGAGAAGCAGCCACAGATGTGCAAGAACTTTGGGAGCACTACAGGCAAGAGAACAAAGCCAAAGTGTACAGAACATGATCTGTCTTTGGGATCCTGCTCACCAAAGGCATACCCTACCTTACAACCCCATACCTTCATTTCGTTTTACCATGCTCCTGAATTCCAAAAACTCCTGGAAGTGCAGGCCCTGGCACTGACTACACTCTTGTTAGCACAACATAGCTGATTGGGGCTGAGCTGGCAGTAACTGCCTGTGAGAAGAACTGTCATAGTTTAACCCCAGCCAGCAACAAAGCACAGCTGCTCACTCACTCCCCTTCGCCCCGGTGGGACTGGGGTAGAATTGGAAGGGTAAAATCAGAAAGAAACTGTGGGTTGAGATAAAAACAGTTTAATAATTACAAACAAAGAATAATAATAAAAAAATTGTAAGGAAAAGGGGAAAAAAAAATAAC